GGGTCTTCCAAGAGTCGAGACAATACCAGATCTGCTAATTCTTGTGTCAGACCTAGCAGTTCTGTTTTATCCTCTATTCATGGAGCAGGTGCTGCATCTAGCAATGGATTATCACGTAGCTCTTCCGTGAGTTCATTTTCTTCAGAAAAATCCACGAAGTCCACCTTAAATCCACATGCTAAGGTAAGAGTTCTTCTTTGATACCTTTTCCTATTCAGCAAACCATGACTGTCAGCAAGCAATCATTTCATAGTTTTAATGGGCTCTTAGCTTACACTGTCCCGTTATGCTTACGTTGAATTTTCTGTCAGGAATTTAAATTTAATCCCAGTGCGAAGAGCTTTGTCCCATCTCAAGCGACTTTGAGACCGGCATCTCCAGTGTCTGATAATTCCTTCTACTATCCAGCTGGGATGGCTGCTATGCCACAGATGCATGGCATGTCTATGGGTGTTGGGGTAATGATGCTTGTGGTTATTACTGCTTGGTGTTGTGTTTATGATGCTGCTGCTGCTTTTTGTTTATCTGGGTACTTTTGAGTCCATATGATCTGGTTAGGACAAGATATTTTATTTGATAGAGTTGGACCAATATAGAATCAAAGTACCAGTATGGGATGTAGGACTTGCAAATGATCACCTCTCTTACTTTTTTTCTTAAAAAAATGATTCATAGGATGGTAACTTCTGTTGGCGGAATAACGGACACTGAATCTTTTGATAGTTTATTCAAAATATTACTTATATATTTTCCATAGTGGTGTTAAAACGAATACTTTGTGGTCACTTCATCCTGTTATATTTTGTTGTTACCTCATCCTTTATTTGCTGAGGACGTGGACGGAGTTCGTGGGTTGCAACATGAGGACTTCCGTTCCGAGGGGATCATCCTTCCTAGTACTTTGCCCAAGCACACTTGACTTGGGAGTTCTATGGTTAGTAAACATAAAGGGGGTATAGAAAGAGATAAAAGTAACAGCCACCTGATTTTGCATGTGCCCTTAATTGATTCTTTTCCAGTTTCCACTGGTGACTGTATCATGGCTGCAATTCTGTTGACTAGTGATGACTGTGATCCTCTTTAGACTAGATATTTGGAGTATTCTTCAGGAACATAGATACAAGATTGAATTGCAAGCTGTTCCCAAATTTGTTAGATAGCTGGTGAAGTTCATGAATTTTTGAATCTGTTTGTCTTGTGTGATTGGACAAGCTGTTGCTTCTCTCTCATTGTGTCTTAACTTTTTCCTTTGGGCGTGGGGTGTTTCTGATGTTTACGTTGCTCACATACTTTTTGCAGGTTGGTCCATCGTTTGCTGGACATCAGTCTGTTGTATATAATCCACAGGGTACCCCTGCGCCACAGCCGTATTTTCATCCAAATGGACCTCAGGTTTGTCATTATCTTGGCAATTTCCCTTTGTACGTGCTGATTGTTCTGCTTGTACTATTTGAGAGATTTGGTCAATGCACTAATCATTGTGCCTATTAAATTTAAGTGGATTGCATAATGCTTAAAATTTCTTCCTTCGGTTGCAGTATGGACAGCAGATGATGATTGGTCACCCTCGGCAAGTTGTTTACATGCCAACTTATCCCCCTGTAAGAATCTGTTTTTGGCATTGTACCTTCTACTTTTTCAGTATTGCGCAGTTACAGTCTTCTGGCCATTTTAGTAGCTCTCATTGTGATAAAGTCAAGTTTTGGTACCTTGCTTGATAATGAATTAATGATCATTCATATTGGTCCTTGTCCAAAAACAGGTAATCGGTTATATGAATCCATAATATCCAAGTCACTCCATTTAAATTCGTCTCGATCCAATATGATAAAACAAAATTAGTTCTTATAGCACTAGAAACTACTCTCTACTTTCTGACATGGGAGCATGACTAAAAGTTAGACCCAACTAATTGGTATCTCCTGTTGAGATCTTTTTTTCCAATCCATTTTTTTTGCTAGGTCTGCTTAGATCTCAAGAGATTGTAGGTCTTGGGGGATGTCTTCCTTTCTTTCATGTGATTTGGGGTCTACCTCATTTCTTTTTAACTCATTCAGTTACCAATTTACCATGATTTGAGGTTTTACACTTACCGACATCCGAAGGTTGATATAAGACATTCTTTTCAAGTAAAAGTTCTCATTAATAATAACTAGGCCAAACTTGGCCATAGACAAGAGATATACCAAAAAGGGGGAAACCTACAAAACATGGTTTTCTCCAAAGCACGCCCAATCCTCTATACAAACAGGAACTACAATGGGTGTGTTACAACCTGTTTTTAACCAAGTAAAAAATGCTTCAGAATTTGGCTATTTATTTTGCAAAAATAGAAGAGCTGTCACATAATTTCTAATGGAAATAGGAAACTAGTCACTGCCACCAAGCCGAGAATAATGCAACCACTTTATCTCGACTACTTTTGCAATATATAAGGTGATATAAGTTAATTTAATGCCAACAATTTTTTTTATTTATAACGTTACCAGTTTCAAAAAAATAAAAATAAAAAATAATTATTTATAATCATTCAAGTTATTGTAGATACATTTGGAGAAATGAACACTGTCAAAGTAGAGTTGTCATAATGTAGTAGAATTATGTTTTTTAATATGATGTTACAGGGATTTATTCATATCTTTAAATGTTGACATCACTTGCAAAAAGATCTTGTGTAAGCTGCTGATCACACTCGACTGCCAATATTACATGTGCTTAGTTGAGCATGTCCCAATGTTTTCTGTATTTTTAAGGATACATCATCCTATTGGTTAGCTTCACATTGGCGATCAACCTACCACAACTTTCCTCTTTTATCAAGAGTCAGGACTATGCAATCTAAGCAAAGCTTCACACAAGCCATGTGATGGGACCTTCTTCCCATTTATCTGATGAATTTTCTGTTTATAAGGAGAACATATGATAATAGAATTACAAACTATTAGTTTTAGCTTTTTTTCTTTATCTATCTTGATTGATGCCAATAGGAATCACCGTACAATGGAAGAGGAGAGTATTGACCAGTTCTCGGTGACCTGCATCACTTGGTGGCTTAACCCTTTGCTGATATTGGAAACAAATTTCTGACAGTAGATTGCATGGATCATTTATTGGTGCATAAAGTCTTCTGATAAAATAGCTGCAATCTGCACCTGCTGGCTGAAATGGTTCTGTTAGCACTCCTGTATAATGAAGAATTAATTATTCTGCTTTTCATAGTCGTAGTGTTTTTTTTTTTTGTAAGCTCTTAGGTGTTCTTTGTCATACTGGAGATTATTTCTCATCTTTCGGGTTTGTTCAACTTTTTTATTTCCTTGGACAATATTTAACCAGTCTGTCATATATTGTCTTATTTCATGATAGTTTTGGTGTGTAAAATTCATTTCCGTTCATCTTTTTGCTCTTTGATAGTGCTTGCGGTGCAAAATGATTGTTCTATGGACAAATTTTGCAGTTGTTAAGTCTGATTTTAGTATTGGTGTCACTTCCTCGTGTCTCCGGCAATTTAACTGTGATCCATGTCTTTGCATATTCATGGCATTGCTGAAGAATAGGATGTGGTTATATGGCATTGATACTCTGGTAGGAGGCTCTATAATCCTTTAAATTTTCAAGGCAAAATTCATAAAAGACCACTAGATATATAGGGAGGTTGTGGATTAGATGGAAGGTTAGTAAGGTGGTTGAGCGTTCTTTTGTTTTTCGATGGGATTAGGCATGGTGATAGTTTGCAGCACCGTGTTTGTCATGGTAGTAGCCGTATTCATGTAATTTCTTGCTTTTGTCATCTGTTGTAGTGTTCGTTTGTTGGTGATTGCACTATTTTCTTGATGTTAATGTTCCTTGACTTGCATCTTAGACCACTTTGAACTTTGAGCATACTTCCATGTGAAAATTTCTACTTTATTCGAACCAATCATACTCACCGTCGGAGTTGACAACCATAAAATGAAGAATTTCACATCCATTTGCTTCGTGAAATGTGGATAGACCAAAAGTGGAAATTATAGTACAGTGATTTTAATAAAAGGCTAGGCTCGATTGGCTGTGAAGAGAGTCATTTTTTGTGTTACATCTTTGAATTCGAGAGAGGACTTTCCCCTTATATAGATCTAAAAGGATTCGTCCATAGGCTTGATTAAATATTGTTTGTCCATAGTTTAAATACAAATAAAATAGGTATTTTGTAACAATATAGACATGTTAGTGAAATGCCTAAAAGAATCAAATGGAAACCCAAACTTGATTAAAGCTTACAAATAATATAACAATCATAACATAAGTCTTATTTCATCTTCTTGAAATAAAGGAGGACAAAAACTCAATTATATCTTTAATGTATTCGATATATAGTAATTGTATTCTTCGTTTCAAACCGTATGGTCAAATAATCCCTATTTATCATTTTTAACCAATGGGTCCCAATTTTTTATTAAAACTTGTAATTTAGTTTTATAAAAAAATTTAAAAAGATGCCATGCTTCCTATTTCACCCGTTTGTCTATCTATTTTCACAGTGAAAATAGTGGTCGTGTAGTATGCACACCGTTCTCTTCTAATTTCATTTGTCAAACCACATTGATCGAGTAGATAGATTGTTTTTGTTGTCATAAATTGAAACTAAAAAAGAGACATATAATGATGTCCGAGAGGTCATTTGATAGTTGAGCAGAATTATATAAATATTAATATTAATACAAAATTAGTTATGAAGTAATCAATATTATTTTGTATGCAAATTATCTATGTGGAGTTTAATTATTTATGTAGTATTAACTATTCCATTTTTTATCATAGATTATACCATAGGTAAAATATATAAATTAATTATGCCAGTTTTTAAATAGCAAATCAAACAAAATGTTAAACTTACCCACCAACATTATATTACTCGTAAAGAATTTAATACCTGCATAACTAATCTCGGAATTAGAGGAAGAGAGTCCTTGATACACATCACATAAAATGACAAAAGAAGTTGTTGATGTAATATTAATCTAGTAAAAAAGAAATACACCTCTTCAAGTTTCTCTCCTTTTTTTGGCTGTCTTTTTCTGCAGTGCCATTTTTCTTACTCAAGTAAGGAGGAAAAAAAAACAAAAAACCTCTTCTGTGTCCTTTTCGCAGCCAAAGTTTTGTTGTTCCGTATACAAAGAGACTGGACTGGGACTTGGACTTCTTAAAGAAGCAAAATAATCAGAGGTGTTTGAATTCTGGGTTTGGTTCAACCACAAACTCTGTTCAATTTTCACAAAATCAACAAGGTTTGTTTACTATTTGTTGCATGCAAAAATGGGGTTTTTTATCTATGACTTGTCCCAAAAAAGGGTTTTTTTTTTCTAAAAAAAAAAGTTGATAACTACTTTGTTTTTGTTGATTCTTTGATTCTTTAGGGATATACTAGTATACTACTCTGTTTGTTACCTCGGTTGCATTTTTCATTTCTTTTGAGTTTCAAAAAAGTGCATTTGTTTGTCGGTTCTATGCCTGATGCTTTAGTATCTCTATTCATTGTTGTGAGATTTACCATTTTTTAACAAGTAAAATTAGCTTCTGTTTGGCCTTAGATTTTGAAGTTAGAAATTTCAAAATTGAGTTTTGATGTTTGGAATCTGAAGTTGTGTTTGGACATGCATTTTACTTTTTGAAGTGAGTGCACGAGTCAAAAACCCAACAATAGGTTCAAGCCCCTTTTTGGGAACTTGAAATATTTGAAGACTTCCAACATTTGATCAATTTTTTTGGCCAAACAGATATTTGAAGATAAAATACATGCTTCATCTTAGAGTCATAAGCAGTGGAGGAGCCCGAATTTTCACTGAAGGCGAGTCAAAAAATATGAAGTACACACAAAGAAGCCAAGTTTATTCAATATGTAGTATATATAGATTTAAAAAGTTACCTAGCTACACAGTGTAGAAGTGTATTATGTCTAAGTCTGAGGATTGTAAAGTTATGACTTAAGTATGTTGTATTACCTATGGTCAGAAAATGCAGGATTTCTTCCGAAAGGATTCTGAGCTGAGTTAGTAACTTAACCCCATTTTGTTAGTGTTAATGATCATCACTCAATTCTGTAGATTTACAGATGCAACAAATGTCGACATTTCCTGGTCCTCAGAATTCCAAGGAATTGAATTATCATTTTCAAGATCAGGATTCCTCGTCTACTCAATCAACGAGTCAATCATGTCCTGAAGCTGCTAATGAAGGAGAAAGAAAAAGCCACGGGAAAAGCAGTATGCCTTTGCGAGCAGGTGAGAATATTCACTTTTGTTCTGCATCTTTTGAGATTCATAAATAGAACACTTTTAAGTTATGTCATAGAATTTTTGAAACAAAGTAAGCATGTTTGCGACTAGCTTGTTTATAACTGTTTTCTCTATATCAATTAGGAGAAGCTAATTGATAGGAGTGTAGAAGAGAAATTTGCAAATTGATTGTTTAGAAGGTTGATCAAATTAAGTACTTCCATGTTGTTCCTCCAAATCTGATCGGTCACAGCCTTTTAATGTGGTGGATTGTATGTTCTTGTTAGCCTGCTAAGGAGGCACCACAGAAATGAGCTTGAAATGTCGATACAAGGTCTGTACTACAGATTGCTTCACTTGTTTTTTGAGTTAGAATAGAGAGCTCATTTCTTGAAAGTAGGTTATAATTCTATTGCTAGACAGTGATGATTGAACAGACTGGAGAAAGTTATCTCTTTCTAGCTTTATTGCTTTGGGGCGTAATACCCGTACACCCCCACTTAAGCATCGAAAGATATACGCATACTAAATGTTGTGTCATGCTGCCCCTTCATTTCTCGTTCCTTTAGAAGGGCAGACATTCTTAATATCTAAATCATCTAGCTATTTCATGACCCACATGATATGTAAGGTTGATTATGTTGTATTTCGTATTTGGCTTACTAGCTGTTAGTGAGTTTGGTTATTTTAAACAGCCACAACTCTCCTTTTCCCTCAATTTTCACTTATTTCTTTTCTGACTTCTGCATTTTCTTAATCTGATCCTCTGGATATCTGCTTGGACCACACCAGGCAGTGTTAGAAGTAGTGGGAAGTCCGATGATTCCCAAAGTGTGTCAAGTCAGGAGCATGGTTGGACTTTCGATATGTATCAGAAAAATTTTGTGAGTTCATTAAGTTAGTTTTTCCCTACTCTTTTTATACGCAATCTACAACAAAATAACAACATACCCGGTGTAATCCCACAAGTGGGGATATGCAATCTCTAGTAAATTATTTATGTATTTATTGGTCTTTATTAGGCTGTTGTTCCTTTTCCTCATCCGGATCCTTACTATCACGGTCTAGTTGCTGCCTATGGAAATCAAGCCATGGTGAGTACAATTAAAGCTCAATTATTTTTGTATTGATGATGTGCACTGCTTATTTGGTTGTGTAAGACACTCAGAGAAAGAGAACTGAACTTTTTCCATTTGATTGTTTTATCACATTCTCTTTTTTATGATGATCAGCAATTCTTTTGAGTAATTCTAGCACAACCGGCTCTAAAAGAGCCATTATGTCATCAATATTTTCACTAGAATTTCAATTAAAAACTTTGCTTATGTCATCTAAGAAAAACCTCCCTTTAAATCTGTCTGGCTGTTTCCTAATTTTACATTGAAACCTC